CTAAGCGAGCCGTCGCTCAAACGGGCCGAAGGCCCGTTTTCGGATAGAAGATGTATTACACCATAAAAATTCAGAAGGGACGGGCCGAAGGCCCGTCCCAAACGCCGCCGGCAGGCCAAGCTGGGCCCGCTCCCTGCCCAGCAACAACTGCACGTTTTTCGATCGGTTGGAGTTGACCAATAGTAAAACTCGGAATTGGGCCTGATGTATGGGAGGCTTGGCAAGGATTCTGGGTTGCAAAAACATCGAAAATGCGCGCGAGGTTTTTCATAGGGCCTAACTCCTTCGGTCGACTTTAACACGCTCGCCAGGACGAATGACGTGTCGCATCGCGATCGGACAGGTAGCGTTCGAAAGAGTAACCTTTAGTGAACATATGACGTAAATATGACTCACCTGCGCCGCGCGCTGCGGCAGCCACCCGCACGTCACCACCTAAATTGACGCCCGCCCGTGGGCAAATCTTTAACGCCGAGGCGGGCTGAGTTCCCGACATCGGAGAGGGTTCGGACAAAGACCATCGTTGTCGGCATTGAAAATACTCCCCGAAAAACCACCGACGAGATTTGGGATGATTTTTTTTTAGGGCCCAGGCTACTTAACACTCACAAAAAAAGAATTCTAACCGCCTAATATTATTGGTAAACTTTCACTATACTTTATGTAACGGAAAATCTATTTAGTAGTATTTAAAACAAGAAAATAATTTTGGAGCCTTTGAAGACATTAATAACATTTTTGAAAATAAACTCCAAAATTATTTTCTTGTTTTAAAATAATAATTTTCTGCTGTTTTCATTGGTTCAGCCCTAAATGACATGTCTTTCAAATATTTCAGAAGGTACGGAAAGGTTTAATCATTATCCTAGCTTCTGAAATCTTGCGCGTCAAGTGATAATTGGGAAAAATGACTCATGTATGAAAAGTGTCGTCCTTTACAAACCCAAAGTTTCCGGAACTTGTTTTTTGTTTGACTTGTTTGAAAAGGAACCTACCTACATAATTAATATTACCTAGTTTTGATCACCTGATTCGTTTTAACTCTAAAAAATAACCAGAAACAACAAGTTTAAAACTAGGGGCTTAACTGTGATGTAAGGACCCATACGAAAAAAAGTTACTTTAGAATGTCTCGAGCCGAGACACACCGGAGACAGTGTCCAGACTTGATGGATACAATATTGAGACATTGTAGAGGCCCTATATGAGAAGCTGTCGAGGTGCTCGCAAGACACTGCTGAGTGTCTCTATCTTGTCGAGTCTGGAAAAAAAGACGTTCTAGAGACATTACTGAGACGCCATCATCGAGACGATGTCGAGACATTGGCAAGCCATAACCCAAGACGGCTTTGAGACATACGGGAGAAACCGTGGAGACATTCTCGAGGCAGCATGTAGCAGAAAGAATGAAAATGCAACGGCGGGTGAGCGCGCCGGAACGCGGATGCCAGTCAGAATCGAACTCAGAACCTTTGGGTTCGGAGTCGGGAGCCGTATCCACTGGGCCAGAGTGAACACGGATGCCAACTTCATTTGGCGGAAGGGCGGGGCTGCTTGTTAAAGTACAATACCCCTCTACCCTCAAGCGCCAGCGTAGAGAGGTTTTTCTCCAAGAGTGGGCACAGCTTCTCTAACCTGCGCACTCGATTGGGTGATGACACATTAGAAAAGGAAGTACCTTTAAAAGTGAATATGGAGCACTGGAGTGGGGGCAAGGGATAGGGTTACTATCTACACTAATATTGTGCCATACAGGTGTGTGCAGTGCAATACGCCTTCATGATGACATGCCATGATGCCATGATGCCACCGCCACGGCCCTGCGGCTGCCAGCACCCCTCCCCCCGCCCCGCTCGGTCACGGGGTCCGTGCCGTGGCCGCGGTGGCGGTGTGGCCTAGCTCGTGCTCGTACACCAGAGATACATTATGCGCTCATCGAAAATAACTTAGCTAAATCACTTTATCTTGTTACAGAGATTTTACATAAAGTCCAGTATGTGCTTCAAACCTCGAAGTGCAACGAAAAAAGGATCATCAGCAAATTGTAAGAGAGATTAATACTGTGCTAGCACGCTTCGAACAACAATATTGATATCACATGTATGACTGACAAAGGGTCTAACGGAAAGAAGGCCATAGAAGTGATGGGTGCACCCCACCATTTATGCTTAGGTGTGTGTTATTATTTTTTTTACGTTATAATCCGAATAGCGTGACCAGTGAAAGCATTACGTTTGCGTTACTCTTTTTGACAGGTCACGGAGTTCACAATTTAATCAGTATAGATGGCATTAAGGGAACCCCCTACACAGCTGACCTGTGCAAAAAAGCAAGGGCCAGTTGTAAGGCGGTACGTTACCGCACGCCTATTATCGAACGGGAAAACATCACTCGGCGCGCGCCCGATTAATAGCGTCGTGAACGCGGACACACAGATGGACGCCGACGACATGGAACCCATCCGTGACGACGACGGCGACGGTGAAGCCGAAGCTGCGTCGAGTTTCATCGAGTTTCCTGACTTGTCGGCCCCCACTAGTGTGAAACTTCCGGTTCCGACAAGATGGCATACCGTTCTCATCATGCTGGAGAGCATTGAGCAGAATAAGGTAAATTGAAT